TAATACTAAATGCTGGCCATTTTGAAAATACAAATTTTAAATAGCTTTTATGTAAACCATGAGTAAAATAATGATGCTTTTTGAATACTTTTTCAATGAACCAGTTCGACTTTGTATATTGAATTAAGCCTTAATAGACGTCACACTCATTAGCATATTGGAAGTATAAACCTTCATAACTTAAAAACACATCACTCAAATCAAGAAATATTTTACCATTCAACTATTTACTTCATGTAGAATCAGTACTGAAAGTATTGTCGAAGGGTTCATTTGCACTTTAAAAGCTGATTTCATGAGTCTGAAACATAAAATATCTGCTTGTAAGAATGTCTTAATTATTGTCCAATAGAAGCCTCAAGTCCAGTGTATTGTAAATATCCTTGTTGTGTTGAAAATCATAGAACATAGAAGCTGAGACATAAATGGTACAATGAAAGTATGTCAATTTGAAGTAACCAGTGATACAACTTTGGAAATTTCTTGAATTGTTGCACTCACAGAAAGTGTGAAGCTTTTAACACATTTCATATCAACTGTATATCTTTCAGTCTCAGCCTCTTAGTTCTCTGTTTTAAACCCAACAATATTGCAATTTATACATTTCCTGAGTAAGGGAGCATGGCAGAGAGCGAAAAGAAAAGGGAACCATTTGCTCTTATCAGTACTCAAGAGTGCATATAGCTATGGTGACAACAAATGTTCTAGGTTATACAATCTTTTCAGTGCAGTCAAGGTATGAATGGCAAAATGTTAATGAAGATACCTTTCAGTCACTCTCTGCTGTTCTCCCTTGTCCTATATGGAATAGTAAGTATAAACAGCCAGTCAAAAGTATTTCAAACATTAATGACTTACCAGGTTATCAGTTAACACCAAAACCATTAATTCAGGCCTATCATCATGTTCCTTCATCATACACATCAAATGCATTAAATCTTATTGGAGTCAAACAATCTTTAAAGATATCATTGGAAACATTGCAAAGATTTTTGACCAGATATCAAAACCTCATCTGTGGGCTATTCACATATATGAACAGAAAAACCATCCCATACCTAGTTAATGATATAAACTATCCGTTAGTTATTATAAGATTATATCGCGATTATAATTTAACTGCTAATAAATAATAATTCTTGTATTCTTTGAGTGAAGAAATAAATAAAATCAAGCATTGAAAGTGTTTCTGTTTTATTGACAAACTCAGCACTACAAATGATCATCAAAAATGGAAAAAAGTAGAAGAATCTTGTCACAGAAATCAAATTATGTGCTCAGATTACAAGTCACTTTTATTCTGTTTAACAATCTTGAGTAATTCAACTTCAAAGATAAGAGTGGCACCTCCTGTAAATTAAGAAGAAAATATTGGATTCTGCTTAGCAATGACTGGCCATTTATAGTCTGTTGTTGCGGACTGGTTTCACGACTATAACACTAGACCGAACGGGAGAATGGATAGGAATCACTGAAGCAGTAAGCTGCATATGTGATTAGCCATGTCTTGATCTAGCAGTGTTTTTATTTTGATTAGCTATGCCAAAAATACAGAGAAGATCTTCGTTGGTGTGCAACTGGTGAGCAGTTTAGATGATACAAGTCCTTGGCAGGAAAACTGAAGAAGTAGCTAGTAGCTTGTTTTCTTTCGTTTTCTTTCAAGCTGTAATCTCATGATTATATTCTGTAGTGTGAGCTAAAAATTTATTGCTTCAGTGATTTTTACCCATACTCCCATGTGGTCTAGTTGCAGAGCTGTTGGGCAAAGTTTTTTCAAAAGACTTTATGGTCTGTAATTATGTGAGTTAATACCCACTTTCCACAATATTTACTATAAAGGTATCATATGCTCTTGGATTTACTTCAGTTATCTGGGGGAGGTATGAATGACTTTGAAATTATATAAGATGATTAAACTAACCTGGAATTTTTGGTGGTGCACCTCTGTCACCATACCCTGCATATTTGGTGAAAATAAAGTTAGAGAAAAATGTAACGACAATTAATGCAACTATCCTAGTTTACATTTTACAACTAATACCAAAAATGTTGTTTTTTCTCCTTGCTATTTTTCCTTCCCCTTGGGAACACTAGATTACAAACACTATAACCATATGGCCATAGCATTAAATACACCCCTTGCATGTGATGTCAAAGCAGCTCAATTTGGAGGACACAAAAGAATTTCTATCATAAGAATTGGAAATTGGAGTACTAATTAGTGCAAAATGTTGCATGTGTTTAGTTTGTACTCTAATGGGAGAGGATTTGAAAAGAAAATACAATTTTGCTATTTTCTCACCCATGCCTTCCCCTCCTTGATAAATAATGAACATCTGAACAGTTAATTCTGTTAACTTACCCATATCGGAAGGAATAACAAGTTTCCTCTTTTCCCCTTCACACATGCTGCAAAATCAAGATAAACAACTAGTGATTATCTGTAGCTGTACTGTATCAACTAGTTACACCCTGGGATGGTCCAAGGAAACCCTAATTCATTACTTGATTATTAACAACAATGAAGAAAATTGCAGTATTCCCCTCCAACTGGGTCAATTCCATTTTATTATATYCCCTTGTACTGTCACCTAATGATACAGGATTTCCACTCTTCAGTTCTATACACCTTAGGATTTTCATTCAATTTGAATCTTCACTTGACACAGAGGGTGAAGAAGGCTTAGCAGTACGTGTCTCCTAACTTCATTTTCTGTTTGACTTCTTTGTGATATGTGGTAAATACCAAATAATCAATATCAAATTTTAAAGAATTATAAAATGAAATCCCTAAGAGTAACAATACTTTAGGTTAGGAAAATAACTTACTTTAAAAGTCCTTGATCCCATCCTAAAGGAATAAAAGTGAATGAATGTAAATAGAAAAAAATGAACACAGGAAGTGTGGTACAAGCTGAATAGTTTCAGTTCTTATCAAATCATTCTATTCCAATCAAATCATTAGTATAATGATTCACTTAACTCTCGGGTAACTATTCCTACTCACCTTTAATGACCTGACCAGTACCAAGAGTAAAAATAAATGGTTCTCCTCTAGGAATACTACTGTCAAATTCTGTCCCATCTTCTAATTTACCCTAAATAATAATTATTGATTTTAGCAATCAGGTAGTGAGGGTGTAAGAAAGTGGTTTTCCAAGCCACTTGAAAGTCTAGCCATTTGTAGATGTAATTACAAAGACAGCACTTTCTCCTCATATATTTCAAGGTCCTGAGTATTGCTCAGGCCAGGACTTGAACCATGACCTCCCACATGAAAGTCTAATACTCAACCAACAGAACCAACTGGCTGGCAGTTAACATATTACATTTCAACCTTAGATTGGCCCTGGGTTCGCTTCAGGGTTGGATAAAATTGATGTCTGGTTTGTTTTTCCAAAACAAACCAAACCATTTTTCCATCCACAACTCTTAAGCACACTTCCTTCCCCCCCCC